ATTCACTTTGTGAGGGTGACCTAGATAAGAAGTGGTAGACTGCATCGTGATATATGGATCCAGCTTCCACTGCTCAAAGGTCAGCTAGTAGTGGTTATGGAGGAACTTGTGAACAAAATAAGTTTATTCTGCGCCCTAGGAACGACCTTTCTTCCCTTAATTCTTTCATCCTCCTTTCAAGGGCTCTGCTTCAATTGCTTGGTTTTCCAAGCCCTTACTCATCAGAGCTCAGCTTCTTCACCTTCTTTCCTCTCTATCTAAACCAGTAGTTTTTAAATGCCAGTCAAGGAATCAAAGCATAAATTAAAAACTACAAAAAGAGCCCATTAAAAATATATGAGAAGGCTATGGCGATCAGGCCTCTCAGAGACCTGAGAGGATTATAGTTTGAGGCTGGGCCTAGGCAAACATAAACTAAAGCAAAAAGGTCTAGATGTATGGCTCAAGTGATAGAGGTTCCTCTAGAAAGTGCAATGCCTTGAATTCAAAATCCCAGTATATGCATATGTATATATTACATACAATTGACTATTATTTGGCTATATAAAGAACAAAGTGTTGTCATTTGTAACATCGGGAATTAAAGTGTAAGATACACAATAATTGAGAAAAATCTAAACCCTACTATATTGTTGGTGGGAATGTAAACTTGTCCAACCACTATGGGAATTCCACTCCTGGACATTTATCCAACACTAGAGCTACCAGCACAACTATGTTCACTGCAGCATTGTTTACCATAGCCAAGATTTTGGAATCAACCCAGATACCTCTTAATGAACAAATAGATCAAGAAAATGGCATTCTACTCATCCATCAGAAAGAATAATATTGTACTATTCATAAGGAAGTGGAAAGCCTTGGAAAAAATTACATTAAGCAAAGTAAGCCAGATCCAAAGAAACATAGATTGCATGATTTCTCTGATTTGTAGTAACTAGAAAGTGCCTACAAGTAACCACACTGGATGGTTAAAAATAATACACTGAGATATGATAAATTATACAGGTCTCTAGGCATTCACAAAGAATGAGACCAAAGGAGAGTATTCTTAACAGAGGATCACATAGGCACAATAGCTATATGCATCTGACCATATAAAATAATATTTCTCAAAATTAAGTCTAGGAAATGGAATCAACAGGTTGTTTATTTTCTTTGTTGCTATTTTTGTTTTTATTTCCTTTTGTCTTGTCTGTTCATTTATCTGTCATTGGGAGAGTAAGTAGGCACAGAAAGGGCAGGGCAAAGGGCAAACAAATCCAACAGCGATATTCAACATGGACCCTATGTGATATTCAACACAGACCTTATGTTGAAAATGAACTATACAACTTGTGGGTAGGGACTGGTGAAAAAGACTGGTAGAGAGTGAGGGAAGGGGTAACATTATCCAAAAACAAGTGTACTTTTTATCTGACTTATGTAACTGTGACCCCTTTATACATCATCTTTGCAGTAACAATATTTTTTTAAATCCAGACGCAGCAAGACAAATGTTTCATGTTCTCTTTTGTATAAGCTAAAAATAGTTGCTCTCACAGAAAAAGAAAATGGAACAGTGGTCACGGGAGGCTACAAAGTGGGGGCAGGGGATTGAAAAAGGTTACTTAAATAATGAATAAGTAGGAAGACTTTGTTTTAATGTTCTATAGCAGCATAGGTTAACTACAATCTGCAACTAAGAGTCCAAATGTTCACAATAGGTAGAAATGATAAATTTTGAAAAGATATAATAACTACCCTGATTTGACTGTTACTTACTGCACACATGTATTGAATTGTTACATTATGCCCTGTAAATAAATAAGTGCACTATATGTTGATTATAAAATAAAAAATGTTACATTCTCTGATAGGGAATCTGATCCAGTAGGTCAGAGATAAGTTTGGCAATCTGTGTTGTTTATAAACTCCCAGAAAGTTTTCATGAACAGTCCGATTTGAGGACCACATTTGTAGAATTCTCCTACACAGAAATAAAAATCTGTCTTTACTATAGTTGTCTTTCTGCCTCCCACCCTTCTACCAATGTAAAGTGAAAAGTTCATGTTTTGGTTCCTTGAAGTATGACCTGGTAGCAACTTCTTATGTTTCCCCTCCTCAAGATTTAGGATATGAAATGTCATAACCAACATTGTGGAGGGGCGTGATGTGTAGAAAGAACAATGGGGAATGCCTTCCATCTACTCCTTTGTGGATTGTTTTTGGGGGTGGGAACTTTTTGTTTGTTTTGGTGGTACTAGGGTTTGATCTCAGAGGTTCATGTTCATTAGGCAGGAACTCAGCAACTTAAACCATACTCCCAGACTATTTGGTTTAGTTATTCAGTATATTTTTTTAGGGTTGTTTTTGTTGTTGATGCTGTGTATATTTTCCTGAGCCAATCTCACCAAAATCTTCCTATGTATTTGCTCCCTATCAAGGTCTAGGGCAATGAGTGAACACTACAACTCCTACTACCCCTATTTATTAGTTAAGATCGGGGGTGGGGGGGAGGCGCTAAGTTTTTGTTGTTGTTGTTGTTGTTTTTGGCTGGCCTCAAAACATGATCCTTCTCATCTCCACCTCCCTAGTAGCTATAATTACAGGCATGTGCCAAGATTCCCTCGACCATTCTTTTTTTTTCTTTGCCACTTCTAGGGCCAGACCTCATGACCTGGGCCATGTCTCTGAGCTTTTGTTCTCATGCTAGTGCTCTACCACTTAAGCCCCAACTCCATTTCTGGCTTTTTGGTGGCTAATTGGAGATAAGAGCCACATGAAGTTTCTTGTCTGAGCTGGCTTTGAATCATAATCCTCCAATCTCAGTCTCCTGAATAGCTAGTACTATATGCGTGAGCCACTGGTGACCAACTACTTCAACCATTCTTATAAATGGGGCCAACCTTAAACCTGTAGCTCTTTAATCCTCTTTCCCATTTCCTGATAGACAGTCCCTGGTAGCCATGAAGGACTTATAATAGGAAAGAGACAAGGTCCCAAAACAACTGGAGATTTGCAAAATTCATAGCAACAACCACAAATACAAACTGGACATTGAAGACCTAAGTACTATATATACTTTTTCAATGACCATTCCAATTTATAAAATTCAAAAATCATGTAGACTATGTACTGCTAAATGCATTGGAAGGTGATGTCATCATTTCCTTAAAATAAGAGTGTGGGAACTAAGAAGTCTATGACACACTAAGGTGATATATCTAATGGTATCACAGACTTATTATCTACAATGTTACTATGTGCATAGTGAATAATTGTACATTCATATATTTGTTCCCATTTTACCAATGAAGAAACAGAAATAAAGAAACTCCAAAGAAATTAATCAGCCTAAATTCACACAGCTAACAAGTAGCTGAGGATGGCAGGAGAGAATACTTTACAGAGACCAGAGAATTCAGAGTCGCTGAGAAAGAAATGATAGCAGAGCAGAAATACTCCCTCTTTTTTTTTCTCTTCTCCAAATAGAACAGTGTCAAAAATAGCCTAACTTTTGGAGGCAAGAAACAAAACCATGCTCAGCAAGAAAACAACATCGTCTTAGACTTTTCAGTTTTGGAATTATTAAACTAGAGGTTTGAGGCTTCTTTCTGTCCTATCGTTCTGAAAGACAAAGCGAGTCCTTCCTCTGCAATCCCATTTGGGCAGCACACAGGTGGTATGTCATAAAGGAGAAGAGGCCACTTTTGTTCTAGAAAACTGACTTCATGGTAAAAATGGAGAGTGGGACTAAGGGCTGGCTTTATAACCAGGCTGCTTAGCCAGGCCTGTAGCCTAGAAAAGAGATGGTGGTTTCTATGGAAACTTTGTCCAGACATACACTTCATATCTAGTTCAAGCCACCTTACTTCAGGAGTCTAGAGGAGACCTTAAAAAGATCACCAAAATGGACAAAGACTCTTATCAACATAGCAGACCTTCCCTTGAGCCTGACACTAATTTCTTGACCTTTTAATGGGGATCTCAGAGCTGGAGTGGTAAGCACATGTAAGAATCTTTGTCAGATATGTAGTCTGTCACTGACCGACCTTGGGATACCATTCCTCTTTATGGGTCCTGGAAGAGAGGATGTCCCCAACACATCTGTTCTTTACCCTGGACCCTAGGGAGAAGGCTGATGAAAAAAAAGTCCTATTAACTTTGATGGTACCCTTTTAATGAAACCAACAATGCATGGGTACACACACACACAAAATAAATCTCTATAATTAGACATGGATCACTATCCATAAGGATTGTCGGTGGGTATTAGAGAAATCAAAACATTCCCTTGACCATTGCTGTCCAGCTGTCTAACCACAAATGATCCAAGAAAGACCAATGGCTGCTTCTCTGTGTGTCAGCTGTCAGGAAATATGCCCCCAGTGACAGACTTGGGGGCATCATCTCCTCACCATATCCCATAATGTCCTGTGAACTCAGATGTCACCCATAGCCCTCCATCCCTTCACAGGTGGGCAATCTCTTTCCTGTGCCAAAAGTAGATGATATTAATTCCAAAAGATTCCAAAAAGAGACTGTTCAAGAAGGCTCAGTTTAGATAAAGTACTTAAGCAAAGTGCACTTGATGAAGTAAAATTGAATTAGCTGCTTCAGTAGCACAGGCTTCTTAGATCCATTCTAAGGTGGACTGGCTTATTGGCTTCCAAGTGGAACAAGCTCACCACAATCTATCACAGTTAACTGTAGTCAAAGCTCCACAAAACTTCAGCCAGTACCTAGTCGTACACCAAGGTACACTTCATAGTCCCCAGTCTATAATCAACCTTTTGTACATTTGTAATTATGGGATACAGTCTCATCTTAATGAACTGTTTATTTATCCTATTATGGTTTGTCATTTCTGCACACTTAATGGCCCATTTGGTAGGTGAAATTATAAATGAGGTCTTTGGTTCTGTTTCCTGGCAAGTCTTGAAGAAAGTTCATTTTTCCCCCTTCTCATTGCACACTGTCAATGTGAGAATCACTGAAGATCAAAGACAAAAACATACCTATTGCAGTCCACGTGGAGCAGTAAATGAGAGGCGCTAACTGACAGTGAAACTTTGTGCCATTGTCCGTCCGCCATTCGGTATGGAAGTGCCTCTGTCTTGACCTTCCCATTATGTATATAATGATATCGAATCTCATCTCTTAGGCCGCTGCTCTCCAGTTCAAAATAGCTGTATATAAAGGAAAGAAATTGTTTTTATTTGAATTAAGAGGATCACAGCTATCATCAATCCCCACTCCCTTTCTACTAGGTTTCTCAGAATCTAAAATTAGCTAACCACAACACAAAAGAGCCATGACCTGAAATCAATTGTACTGTAGGAGACCCTTGAGCCTCTGAAATGGAGATCAATTGATCCACTGTGAGGTTAAAAAAAAAAGCCACAAGGTAATTAGCAAAGCCCAGTGCTATGTCTCTTAACCACTTCAAAGTACAGTTCAGAATACTCTAAAAAAAATCCATTCACATGAATTTATTGATGTTTATTTTTAGAATGGCCATTTTCATTATTTCAAGAATTAATGAGAAATAAAAATCAGGGATTGAAATAAATTACAAGTGTGAAGAGATTAGTTAAGACTATTTTTCTTCTTTCCCCTGGACAAAAAGTTGTGACTAGAGAAATCCTAGATGATGACTAGAGAAGAAAATATTGAAACTACTCACATATGAATAGTACTTCAAATATCATAGAATTTTTGTCTTTTCTAAGATGGTCATTGTGTTTTCCAGACCATAGGAATTTGCTAGTGTCACTATTATAGTCTGTGCAGAATATATTTTGAGATACTTCTAGACACCTACCAAGGCTAGTAGTGTCAAGGCTAGTAGTAGGGTGGCAGGTGGATTCTGTCTTCTGTACCTCTCCATAAATGCACCATCACCATTATCATTCATATTGAGCCTGCTCTCTACCAAACATGGCCCTGAATGTCACATAAACTAACTTATTCATCACTCACAAAGGAAAAAAATAAAAACCAATATTATTGTCACTTTTTAAAAATTAAAAGTGCAAATTCTAATTGTGGTGGCTCACACCTGTAATCCCAGCTATACAGGAAGCATAGGGAAGAGGATCATGATTTAAGAGCAGCCTCAAACAAAAACACAAGGATCTATCAAAAGAGTATCTAGAACAAAAATGAACTGGAGATGTGACTCAAGTGATAGAATACATGCTTAGCAAGCATGAGGCCTTGGATTTTAACTTCAGTACTAAAAAACTAAACTAAAATAAAAGTGAATATTACAAATGGAGATTCAAGGATTTACATACCAAGACAGGATTTAAACCTCGATCTAAATTTGATGATCTGAGTACTTTTAAACACTCTATTGAAGCTGAGCGCCAGTGACTCATGCCTGTAATCTTAGCTATTTAGGAGGCTGAGATCTGAGGATCTCGGCTCAGCCAGGCAGGAAAGTCCCATGAGACTTTTAACTCCAATAAACCACCAGAAAACCAGAAGTGGTGCTGTGGCTCAAGTGGTAGAGTGCTAGCTTTGAACTGAAGAGCTCAGTGACAGCACCCACGCCCAGAGTTCAAGCCCCACAACTGACAAAAAAAAAAAAAAACTACCACTTTATTGGCACCAAATATATTGTCGAGTAGCATTGAAAATGACCCTCAACTGGCATTAACCTCCAGCAATGCATTCATACAACAATTAAACACCAACTCTGTCTCAAGAGCACTTGTCTAGGTGACCAGTTTAATTCTTCAATTTGGAATAGATCTTCTCTTCCCCTTTAATCCACTGAGTTAGCTTCACTCTTTTGGTATATAACCTAAAATACAAAATGCATCTTCTATCAGGACTGAAATGAATATATCATGAGTCTCAGTTTCTATTATGCATGACTCCCAAGTCTCATGTTAGAAAACAAATGAATATGTCTTGTTCATCTTTCATAAGGATTCTTCCCAAAAGAGCAATTCTGAGAAAGTAGATAATCAAGACCAGCCCCTGACCCACCTCATTTGCCCTAGTACAAAGAATCAGGCCTAAACCAAAGTGATTATTTATTCCATAGCAGCCAGCTCCTGGGCCCCAAGTACATGCTTATTAGTAATAATTAATATAATACATATTTTATAAAACCTCAAAAGCAAAAAAGTCCTTAATATTTATTTTAACCCCATAGACTCCTCTCCCAAATTACTTAAGCTGATCAAAACTTTGGCAAAGTATCAGAGTATAAAATTAACCTACAAATAAATAAATAAATAAATAAATAAAAATAAACTTAACCCACAAAAACCAGTAGCTTTTATATATGCCAACAATAAGAAGAGGGAGGCTGAAATTTTAAAAAACAGACACTCCATTTGTAATAGCCTCTAAAAAAAATAAAATATCTAGGAATAAACTTAGCCAAAGAGTCTAAGAAATCTTATGAGGAAACCCTAAAAACTTAAAAAAGGAAATTAAAGCAGATGCTCATGGATTGGGAGAATTAACATTGTGAAAAATGGCAATATTGCCCAAAGCTATTTACAAATTCGATGCAATACCTATCAATATCCAACAACATTCTTTAATGAAATAGAAGAAGCAATCCAAAAATTCATATGGAACAATAGAAAACTCTAAATACCAAAACCAATCCTTAGCAGGAAGAACAGTGCTAGGGGAATATCAATACCAAATTTCAACCTCTATTATAAAGCTGTATTTATTTTTAAAAAAAACAGCTTGGTAATGACATAGGAACAGGACTGAGGACCAATGGAATAGGACTGAAGACCCAGACATGATCCCACAGACCTATGGCCACCTAATCTTTGACAAGGGAGCCAAACTTATCAGATGGAAGAAAGATAGCCTCTTTAACAAATGGTGCTGGCAGAACTGGCTATACATATATAGAAAATTGAAGTTAGATCCTTATATATCACCCTGCACCAGAATCAATTCTAAATAGGTAAAAAAACCTGGAAGTACAAGCAGATGCCCTGAAAATATTACAGGAAGGGGTAGGGGATATGCTAGGGCTCCTTGGCACAGGTCAAAAGTTCCTAAATAAAGATCCAAAAACATAACAAATCAAAGAAAAGCTAGATAAATAGGACTGCATTAAACTACAGAGCTTCTGCATGGCAAAGGACATAGCTAATAAGATCAATAGAAAGGCCACAATAGGGAGAGGACTTTCCCTAGCCATACATATGAGACAAGAGTCTCATATCAAAAACACACCTAGAGCTCAAAAATTAAACCCTCCAATGACAAATCCCCAAAGAGACAACCACCCCATTAATCAGTCTAAAGAATTAAAAAGACACTTCTCTGGAGAGGAAATAAGAACGGCCCATAGACAGATGAAGAAATGTTCAACTTCTCTGGCCCTAAAAGAAATGCAAATCAAAACCACATTGAGATTCCACCTCACCCCAGTTAGAATGGCCATCATCAAGAAAACAAGTAATAACAGATGCTGGAGGGGATGTGGCCAAAAGGGAATGCTACTACATTGTTGGTGGGGATGTAAGCTGGTTCAACCACACTGAAAAGCAGTATGGAGGTTCCTCAAAAGACTAAACATAGAACTCCCCAATGATCCAGCAATTCCACTCCTGGGCATTTATCCAAATGATCACAAGCTAGGTCACAATAAAGCTACCAGCACAGCTATATTCACTGAAGCATTATTTACCATAGCTAAGATATGGAACCAACCCAAATGACCCTCAATAGACGAATGAATCAAGAAAATGTGATGTGTATACACAATGGAATCTTATGCTTCTATAAGAAAGAATGACATCATCCCTTTTGTAAGGAAATGGAAAGAGTTGGAAAAAAAATCCTATTAAGTGAAGTAAGCCAGACCCAAAGAAACATAGGTTATGGTTTCCCTCATTTGTAATCATTAGTGTATGCCTCGGATAGTCCTGACAGAGTATCATACTAGATCAATAGCTACGTACATATGACCATGCAAAATGATGCTAATTGAAATGAACTCCAAGACATGCAAACAACAGTATGTTTTTGGTTGTTGGCCTTGTTGTCGCCAATGTACTCTATCTAGCTCTTTATTCTTATTTTATTTCATGTTTCTTTTTCCATTGGTTTATCCCTGGCAAGTACTGCCTTTGATCCTGGTACTCTCTGTCTTGTATATACACTTATCTGATTTGTGGAAGGGAAGGGGAATAACAAAATGCTGAAACAAGGACAAAGGATGACCCATTGCAGCAACAATACTCACAAGACACTATGTCAGAAATGAACTTTACAACTTTGGGGGAGGGAAGAGTTGGGGAGGAAAAGGATAATGGGAGAACAACAAAAGAGTGGGTAACAATGTTCGACAAGAAATGTACTCATGACCTTACTCATGTAACTGTAACCCCTTTGTACAGCATCTTTACAATAAAATTAAAAATATTTTAAGTTAATTCTCCAATTTCTTTTATGAGAATAATTTCTTACATGAGAAGAACCAAAAAATCATAGAATTTGAAAGTTAAGGTGACCTTTGAAATTATCTGGTCATTCGTTAATTCATTCAGGATGTCTCTACTGAACACATGGAGACATAGTGAAGAAAAGAAAAAAGACTTAAAATACAGGTCCTTGAGATGTATTGTGTTAAAAAGTAAAAAGTGACCTAAGAGAAACAAAGAAAAAGAAGGGATCAATTGTCATTGATTGAGCGAATGCCACTTGCCAGAACACGTCAAGTACTTTTGTGAGTCCCAATGACTTAGTTAAAGTGGATGCTACTAATTCTATTTTATAGATGGGTTTATATACAATCAAAGATATTAAATGTGTTACCCAAGATCACACGGCTCTTATAGAAAATCACCATGGTCTGATCTTTGAAATTTTATCAGTGCCTCCATACCCTGAGAAATTTCTCAGTGACTTTTAGGAGAGAACATGACCTTGAAAGGACTGTAATCAATGACAATTAGAAATGCTCACAGAGACTCACTGGGGGAACCATTAAGATGATAGGTAAATACATTGAACCGGACTCAGTCATTATTCCTAGGGTTATGGCCTCATTAAACCAAGTGTTTAATGCATTACAAGTAGATCATTTAAAGATCACTGTACAAATCACTGGAGTAAGTGATTACCTTGTAGTAATCACAAATACATAGCTATGAGAAAAGAAATCTACCCTAATGTTATGGAGTGAATGTTTATA